CAGCTCACCTGTATGTTTGTGGAGAACTACCTCCTGAAACTGTTTGCGAGTGGTGGCAAACGTTAGTGGAGAACTCAAGGCAAACAGAAAGCTGTTTGCAGCTATGTGCAAACGTTCTCCTATGTTCGCCCAATTTGAACACACCGGTGGTCTCAATGTTAAGACAACAATGCTGTTTTTAAAACGAAACATTTGGAATGTGAATAATAGTTACTTGTTTCTTTGTTCCAACTCCATTAAAGATTCAAGAGAACATGCATTTCAAAAATAGAAAATGTTACAGCTTAAAACACGAAGTAAAAAGTAACATTTTAACATTAACATTATCTAACTAGCTAGCTAGCACAGCTAACTTACAGAAATTAATCTTCTTTATCCAGTGAGCCGATGTGTTTCCCATGAAAGCTAAGGTCGGCTTTACAAACAGCAAAACTGAAAAGTTCGAAGTTAAGCATGAAGTGCTCATACATTTTATTTCTTGAGGCAGCCATCGTGCTCTTGTTAACTCTCCAGTAAGCAGTAATGTTAAAACATTCCAAGTTATCGCAAAAACATGCGTGATGACGTCACTGTCTAACTGACTATTAAATTAGGTACCAACTAATTTGATCGGCAATTTTAGTCGACCAAGATGATTAATCGATGCACCCCTACACTCAATAACAGGTCTATTGATTAAGAACTGGATACTAAGCGTAAGGTTCAAGGGGCTAACTGTCCCCAAAATATTCAAATTGTTTGTATGATTTCATAATTGTGCATTATGTTACACATACACAAGTTTAAATGAAAAAACAAGATAGAACTCTAATAAAACATGGCTTAAAATTCACTTGTCAGACAAATCTGAGAAATGTCTGGGCATAGTCCCAATATTCTGATGAGCATGTGTGATTAACAGCCTTCAATCCAACACTCCTAGTCTGCTACATCACTGAAGCAGAACTAAACACAAACTACAGATCTAAACTACAAACACGGGTTGTGTTGTAGACTACACTGCTGTGTCCATGGCCCACTAAAAACATCCAGTAGGAGCATACTGCTTTAGTGCAAGAATTTCATTGCATTTTTGAATGCCTTGTATTCTGAATACATATGACAATTAACCAATCTTGAATCTTTTGAATATTGACAGAATAGCTAGCTTAATGGCTCAGTTATGATTGCTATGTTAGGTTTCGCCTGGTTGCTAGCTTTTGGTTCCTAAGTTTCGCCAACTCGAACAGAGAGACTGTGGGGAACACAAGTTTGTTGAAGCTGAGTAGACAGTGCAAGTCACATCCATCTTGTTACACAAGCTTTACCAAAGATTAGGACCTGCCAGTTATCTTTGAAAGGGGAGAATTTTGGCTAAATACTTCAGCCATTCAGTGGACCGTGGAAGGTTATTCATAGGACATATTCGTACATGTATAGTGTGTGCCCACAAAAGCAAGATTAACCTTATTAGAGAGAAAGCAAGTTCCCTGGGGCTTTAAATATAAATGAGTGCATATGTGTGTGTACATGCATTCATGCTTAAGTAGCTTTTAAAAAGTTACTTTATTGATTTTAAGCTATCCCAGCAGAGTAGCCATTTTGCTGTTTAAGCTATCACATACCGGGGCCCATGCAGTGCTCTGACCAGTGCTGAACTTTTTCATGCACTTTTCATGCATGAGGATTGGCTTCATTAGCATGAGTGAGGATGCATGAGAGATGATGTAGATGCTGGAGGAAGACGCGTCGCTGATTTATTGCTTTGGCCTACTTTCGCCTTCTGGTGAGGACAGCCTTAATTGATTCTGACGGGCCTCTTTGCTTTGAGGGTAAAAGACAGCAAAAATTTCACCTGGGAGGTATGACAGAGGGCGTGATGAGAGGTGAGATGGACATCACGTATTTCGACTGCAGCTCATGCACAGGTTCCAGTGAGGACCCGTTAAATTTCTTTGGACATCCATGTAATTAACCGCTACTGTTTGATGAGCTCAAATAATTCCACCAAGGATTTGTAGAATCAATAGAGGGGGAAAAAAATCTGGTTTGACTCTTTATTCTAAAAGCAAATTATACGAATAATTCTCTCTGTTTGGTCTGCATGTAACTCTTATGACTGAATAATCCCTCGCGTAAAAGGGAGGACTTAAGGCGAGGGAGAATCGATTGTTCCCCGCAACATTGTTCTTTAACAGCACCAAATCCAATTTGCTCCAAAAACTTTGAGAATAATTTATTTTCATGGACTCCTTGGTCTCAGATCCTGCATATCTCTCTTTCTTTGAACCTGTGAAAAATATTTGGGCATAATTCGGAGTGTACATGCTGAATTTCTGCTCTCTGCTACTCTCCTATCTTCTCACAGGAGAGGAGACAAATACTTCCTGCAGACACACGCACACAGTCTCCATATTGATATTCTGGGACTGAATTGAGTAAAAAGCCAAGCATGAGTCATTGCCACCATCCATACAGATTCTTCAATTAGAGAGAGAGAGAAACAGGCTGAATGCATTTCTGTACAGATCCATGGAGATTTAGCCTTAGGTTTCATACCATATTGCCATAATGACACCGCATAGTGGCATCTCTGCGAGATCCGAGAGACTGCTGAGTGACCCTAATTAGTCTACACACACTAGAGTATGTTACCTATAAATGCTTCCTAGAACACAAGGTGACCACTACGCCATGTTCCAACACCGTTCATGCCACAGTTCTGTGATATATTACGTCTTCTACGAAATGTACAAAGTAAATTCAATGTCTTTCTGTAACACTGGCAAGCACTGACCCCTGAAGTCTTCTATATTATGTACCCTTTATCTGAGTTTTTTTTATTATTATTTATTAAACTAGTCTAATCACTGCCCCATTAAATAAATATTCCATTGTAGTACAGGACTGTCCAAAGGTTAGACCACTCCTTTATTTATTTATTTATTTATTTAATTTCCAGTCAAAACAGCCATTGAGTACAAGTTCTACATTTTACAGAAGATGTATCTGAAGAGATTAAATACAAGATAATCCACTTGCATAAGGAAGTCAAAAGAAAATAAAGGAAAAAACATGATTTTCCAGTTTCCAAAACTGAAATTGGGATTACTAATAACCGTGCAAGCCCTGGTAGACCACCAAAACGGTAAAAGTGTTGTCAAAAAACAGCACTTAAAGCTTCCATCTAGCTTGACTTTTGCTTCAGACATAAAAAGATCCAGATCTAAAAAAATCTCCATTGTTTCTGTGAATCCTTTCACTGTGAAAGGACAAATCAATGCTATGAGTCAATGGAACAAAGAATTGGCCATCCCAGAGCCCAGACCTCAATATCATTCAATGTAATTGGGATTATTTCAATTGCAAGAAGAAGAAAATGCTATCAACTTCTGCAAATCAACAAATTATTCCTGCAGATTTCTTTGAAAATTGAATGCTTTGGGTGCAGTGCAATTTATGCCTTTTGTCTGAAATATTTTTATAATTTACACTAAAAACTCTATTGTATTTTATTCACAGCATGTATTAACTCACAATTTGCATATAGAAAAGTAACTGATATGAATAAGCGTAAACTACCTATGGAAATTACTTGGCAAAAAAAAAAACTCTGATTGCTACTATGAACAGCTTACGTAATTGAAATGCCATCCATCAAATATACACATCTAAGCCTTGAATATACTGAAACGTTGCACCAGATAGCTCCTAAAGTTCTAGCATTAACCTAACTGTGGGCAGCAGGCAGCTTTGCTCTATGCGATGGTTTCATCATTCTAAATACGGCCCAAACTCCCACATGAACCCCCCTCAGCAGTCTGACTGGAGCTCCAGCTGTGGCGAGAAAGAAGATAAGGAAAACACTCAACCAAATCATTAAAAAGCATGCAAGCTCACATCAGATAATGGTACAAAATTTCAAACTCCCAACCCTGTAGGCTTCCCTCAAAAGCAAACATTTAACCTTGGCTGCTCTGGTGCACTACCCAGCCGAAGGTTGTCAAATGGAGTGCATCTTCATGTTTATTTCAAGAAGGGCTGCAACAATTAATTAACAAATTTGATTATTAGGCAACAACAACAAATACAGAAAAAAGACAACACGTTGGCACATTGCTTACTTAAAACAAAAGTGCTCTACAATGCTCTATAAAGTTCAGTTTATTCAATTAAGGCGGTCATTCCAACAACGTACACTACAGGAAGGGTTAGGGGCAATATGCCTTCTGTTGTGTTGCTGCACCACAAAAGAAGAAACTGCTGCACAGGCGGGACTTTAAACGACGGTAATGCTGTAAGTGCTGGCTGGTAGGACTGCAATTATCATCGCGACACAGCAAAATACCACAGTGTTGAGCATGTCTCTGCCATAATTATGCCTATATTGTTGTTTCCTTTTTTCTTGACCAGAAGCAGGAAACACAGCATTTCTGCGCTGCTTTGCTGCCACTTGCAGTGTGTTCTTGTGTTGATTAGTCTAGCCTTTCATAATGGACGCGCACACAAGTAGTACCATACCTCAAGAAGTATGTACAAAATACTTCAGCTGCATTTTTTATTCATGACTGGTATGCAAAAAAAAAATCACATGGTTTCTGGTATAAACCAAGCTTGTGTTACACTAATATGTGCTTCCGATATTTAATACTTAGTGATACACAGCGAGCAGTAGCCTAGCATAGATTTTTTTTTCAATATATTTTAATAGCATAGTATTAAACAAACATGCAAAAGTTTCAATGTGTGATACCAAACTGGGGGCAGGGGGGTTTAGTGTTCTAGTCTGCTTCTCTTACAATTATGCCTAGGGTATTATAAGTATTGTAAATGTTCACCAGACCGAGATCACTTTTCCAGAAAGAAACCTTAATATTAACTTTGTTGTATGTATTTTGAACTATTCTTTCAAAACAGTTCTTGTTATGGATCAGCAAAACTAAAACTAAAAATCAAAAGGAGAGGAAACCACAGAATCTATGATGCTATGATAGTTGATCAACTGAGGAAGACCTGCTTACCTTCGGTGCAGTACTTCCCCTTGTAGCCGGTGTTGGCACAGTCACACAGGACCTCGCCCTGGTGGATGGAGCAGAATCCTCCATTGCTGCAGGGGTTCTGCTTGGCACACAGATACTCCAGATCGTTCTTGACCCCCTGGCCATCCAGAAGAACAGGAGGAGCCTCCCCTAGCTTTAGGTTGGCGATCAGGCCCCGGAATGGTGGCTCGTATTTAACGGTGCTGGAAGTCAGAGCTGATAGACGAACATCCGGAGGGATGCCACCCACAAAAAGGTCACTGGCCACCACCATCTCCCTGCGCTTGGACTTGACCTCAGCCACCTTGGATTCGGCGTCCACAGCCAGTGCAGTCTGGCGGTAGTTGCGTGTGAGCAGCACACGGTGCCAGCGCTCATCGCTCACACGAGTCTCCAGGTGCAGGGAGGCGGGTTCGCCACAGTGGATGGCAAAGCGCAGCAGGGGGCGTCCCTCGCTGATCAGCAGCTCCAGGAAATCACAATCACCACCATCGTCCAGGTACAGCACCACAGCCCTGCTGATGTTGGTCTTCATAGTAAAGCTCAGCTCTCCTGTGCCTCCAGCCTCCTCCCAGCGCCCGTAACGAGCCCATTGGCCTGGCAGGCCGTCAAACTCCAGCGCCACCACCAGCGAGGAGTAGGCTGTCAGCAAGGAGGCCGCCAGCAGCCCCAGCAGCAGCTCCGCCAAGCCCTGCCCCCCACTACACCTCCACTTCCTCGTCATCGTCTTCCAAGCACGCGCCTAAATCCTGCTTTCTCTAATGTTCCGTTTCTCTTAATCCACTGCAAAGGAGAGATTTATTCCCAGCGTGGCGTATTACCGTATCTGGCCTTTTCGAAAATAGCACTGCCAAAATAGGAAAGGCCCCCGATTCTAAAAAAATAACCTAATGTTTAACAGTTTCTTTTGAGCCGATTCTCCATCCCGATTCTCCTCTGAGTGTTCTCCGTGGAGGAATACATGGGAGAGTTTTGTCTGCAAAGCTCGCACACTATTCAAGTCTTTTGAAACCCAAAAACTGATTTAGAAATTTGCTGGATTCCACATGTTAAATAATCATACACGACATTTCACGCCCAGGTGAACAAAGCTTTACTTGTTAGGCTTTATTCTATGCTGGTTTGTATGCAGCTGGTTGTGGGGCAAACGCATGATTTCCATTTGCTCTTCTACAGTTCCTTGCCGAGACAGTCTGCCAGCGTTCCACAGATCAAAGAGACGGCCAAGCAGGGATAGCTGCCATTCCCCAAATCCTCTATTGCCCAGGCCTCTGAAAGACACAAGCAAATAGCATGTTAAATCCTAATTAGTATACAGAAACAAATGCACAAATACCACCAAAACACTCATACTTTGAAGCCACACTGAAGCCACATTACTAATTAACATTCAAAACACATAGGATCAAAGCTTTATTATTTGTAGAGTTCCAGTGCATTCGCTTATTATATTAATAGTTTGAACACAGGGATAGAGACAGTGCTATTGGAGGAAAGTCCTTGAGGAGAATGAAACCAATCTTTAATGCACCTAGCATTGTAGCAGACAGGGCAGTTGACAGATTCCCTCGTTTGATTTGCAAATTTCCATCAAATCACAGATGAATATTTACCAGCCACCTCATGGCAACTGTTTTACACATGGTAGGGGACACAGTTCACCGCTCCACAAATCTCCACAAATCTCCACAAAGAGTGAATGGCAGTTTTTAAAGAACCATTATTATTGGATACCAAATTTGATATAGTTTGTAAATGTCATTAGCTTTAATATATGGCAATAAAGCCACACAACACCTCTTTTTGAATTCACAGTTTTTTTGCACTGTCGCAAAAAACAACACATTTACATCTACAGTCACATGCAAACGTTTAGGCACCCCTGGTCAAATTACACATATTGTTGAAGTTTAAGTAACTAAACATCCTCTACAAAGAACACACTTGTGCACATTTTAATGTACAATGACGCCTTATTTGCTAAACTTAACATATTGATAAAAAAATAAACATAAAATGTGGCCTGTGCAAAAGTTATGCCTCATATTATATTTTATGTTTTCTATTTTTCCAACATGTTAAACTCAGCAAACAAACAGAAATAGTACACTGCAATTTTAGAAAATGTTCATATTTAGGTTTATATCCTGTAGAGCATGCACTTATTTTCACAAATCAAGAAAACATGTAATTTGACCAATGGAGTTCAAACCTTTGTATACGACTATGTCTGCCTATTCAGTCTACGAGAGCTTAGCCCTGCCTGTTCACACTGAAGTTATAAAGAGTGTTGCAGGTTGATTGATATTACAAGGCAGCCAATCAGAACAGAGATCATTAACATATATGAAATATGAATATTCTGTTAGAAACAAAACAGCCCATTTCATTCTAAGGGATAAAGAGTGATAATGGTCATGTATAATAAATCATAACTGCTTTTGGAAACAAAAAAAACAGTCAAATGTAAATTTCAGATCTGACCTTTAAAGAGAAACAAATAAGCAGGTACATGAAATAGAAGTGAGTAGAGTAAAATCAGTAGAGGCATCAAGGGAGAGGTAAAAGGTGAACTTTTCTTGATAAAAAAGGCTCCCTTGTATGGCCACATTATGGCAATATGCTTTAGGGAGCTGAGAGAAAAGCTGAGCTGAGAGCTGGATGCCGTGGCAGAGCACCAATCTCAAGATCCAGCAGGGAGGAGTGAGGCCTATAGAGCTGTCTCCGGCCTCATCAGCTTCGACAAATAGAGGTGCCTGCGCAATAAAGGGAATGATACTGAAGCAATATGCACTCCACAAGCAGAGAAAAATTAATTTGATCACACAAAACGCCAGCTTAATTTCTCATTTGCTTCTAATTAATTACAGTGATCACGCACAAGAGGACTTCTCAAAAGACCTTGAAAGTGATAACAGCACTTCTCTGTCTGGCGACTAGGGCTCTTCTACACGGACGAGACTTTCCTCCAAATGGCAAAGAGAAAAAAATAGCAAAAATCTGGTGAAAATAGGAAAGAGCCTTCTCGCCCTTCACAGTGCAAAAAAGAAGAAAATAAGGCATTTTTTTTTATTTGCATTTAACCAGAAGACAAACAACAGAAAAATAAGGAGAAAAAATAATAAGGGAACATTTTTAAAAATTACCTGAATTGACAAATTTTTCTTTAAATTTAAGCAAAAAGCAAACAACTCAAAAATATAGAACATTTTTTAAAAAAGAAAGAAAAGAGGTGAATTTCTCTCCTGATTGTCACAGGATTAGTGACTAAATGGCTTCACAGCGAGCTCCATGCAGTCTGCATATTGCCGCGGGAGCACAGTGGGTTCATCATAGTCATTGTGCATAAAACGGGGGGATGGGAGGGGTGAGGAGACATTTCTGGAATAATTGGAATGAAAAGTAGTTCAATTTAGATCAAATTGGCTCCTATGACAGTCAGTTCCTTCGCCAATTCAAATATATCGTCCCCGTAATTTCTTTTTTAACACTGCAGACGGGCACTGGGTTGTCTTCTCAGGCACTGTGGAGGTTCCAGGAAGGCATCTTATACAAGCACGCAAAATATCATGTGAAACGTTCTGCCGCGTGTCCTGCTCATCACTTCCTTCCAGTAATTCCACAGCCACTGTCACCACGCTTTGCATTTCTCATTTAAATCTAAAGAGATATGGCCTTGTTAAACAGAATGTACATTTTAATTATGACTCCGTTAATGCTAAAGATTCCAAATAGAGACAAATTCCACTCCCTCTCTCTCTCCCTCTCTCTCTGTGTAGTCTTTGTCATTAAGGTCATTATCTGCCCTTGAGCATGATGCATCACTTCACCATGGAGCATAATGATGAGGAGAGTCAGAAAGCCAGGCCTAACAAACCATTCTGCATGTTTCCATGTAGCCATGGTGGTAAATTAATCCTTACCGCATTGTTATCAGCAATCTAACAACATCTGGCCATACATTTATTATGTGCTGATCAAAGCTCTATTCTCAGCTCTATGGGCCTCATTTACCAACCATTCTTATGAAGAAATTTCTTCTTAACACCCACTTTCTCCAAAGTTTTCTTATTTGGAATTTGTTCTTAGGTTAACCCAAAATCTAAAAACATTCAAAAGCACAAAGGTGCAAATAATTCTGTTTAAAAATACATCATGAATCTGACATAGATTTTTTCTTAGGACCTTTCTCAAGAATAAATTTCAGAAAAAAATCTTAGGAAGACTGTGAACGAGGCCCAAAGTTATGGTACACTGAAAGTGTCAGAATTCCATAAGCATTGGACTCAGTCAACGTATGGATGATGTGAGAACTAGGGAAGCTTCCACAGCAAGCATGTAAAAGTTAAAACCCATGCAAGCAAACACATCTTGAATACAAGAGGTGCCTTTTGTCAAGCATATATTTAAAGATCACACTTGAATTAGTGCATTTATTTTCAATTAACGATTGTGGTTCTGCTTGACATTCCTTCCTCTCCCTGTTCCTTTTAATTAGCTGAATCAAATCTGCGTGATTAAAAAAAAAAAAGCAGAGGCCTCCTCAGCCACCCATCCACCCACCACCACAAATGACTGTTCTAGAGAAATCTGTCCCTCTCAAACAGAACCCGGAACAGCCTCAAAGTGTGAACAGCAGATGGTTCATTGTGGTGTGCTTCAGTACACAGCATTGTGCATTCTTGACTTCAAAATCTCCCTGCTCATACAATTGAGTGCTAACTGAGATGAGGTAGCACTTCAGAGAGGGCCTCACGCAGAGGCAACAGCCCTCTACTCCAGCATTATCCAGCTGTAGTCCCATAGACCAAATCCCTGGCTGGGCAAAGCCTTAACTAGAGCAGATGAAGGCCCTGGTTGGATGGATGTTTGCCAATTAGCTAGTGAGCTACCTAAAATAGCTTGCTAGCTAAAGTGTAGTTGACATACAGCAGCTCACATTAACATTAGCTAAAGAAAAGTATTAAGCTTTGTGCCGGAATAAGCCCCTGGGGGGTGCTAGCCAACTAGCTAGTTACTAGCATTAGCTTGCTTCTACAAGTGTAACAATGTGATATTTCGTATTGCATCATAATATATTGTATCATGTTGAAACACTGCATTGTGGCTAGCATGTTAGCTCACGGACAGTGTGTTACTTGGGCTAAAATATTACCTCATGGCTAATATGGCTAGTATACATTACGTATGTTACAACGTGAAGTACTGTTTGTTTTTGTGTTTTAGCCCTGTTAGAAAACCAGCATAAAAGGATCAGGCAAAGCTCCACTGTGCTAAAGTCTCAAATATCATACTGTTATCATGGTAACCTAAGGCTTATTTTCAGACACTGTTGCATTTCAACAAATGCATTGAAACACTAGGTTATTTTATTGCACCAAGAAAAAATCATGAATTTTGTGAAATGTCACACCTCTGCTAGCTTGCAAAAGTGTCGAGTTGTTTAGCTATTTAGTTAGTTACTTCCCTTACCACATTAACTAGTGTAAACTGCTCCTACAAAATAAAAGGGTTAAGTCTAGGCTTAGCGATAAGATTAGCTACTCAACCCACAACTTTACCTAGTTAGCCAGTCTGCTAGCTAACACACAGCAAACAAATTATTAAGTTATCCAACTTTATGTTATTTAAAGCATCACTTTTGTAACTAGCTTCTCTGAAATAAACCATTTGCACAAACAAACATTACCTAATGTTAACGTGAACTACCTCACCAACACTTTAGTTAGCTACCAACTCAGGTAGCTTGCTAGGTACTTGGCTAACTTCTGCCCAAGCTAGGACTTCTGCCCAAGCTGAGGTTTTGTCCTGCTTGGGGCCTGGTCTGCGGGCCTACAGCTTGATGTCACTTTGGCAGAGATGGTTGCTGTCCTTTCAGCACCAGCACCACCAAGGCCAACGGAAATCAGCACCATGGACAGTGCATTGCCCTCACTACTGCTGATAGCTCCCAGTCTC